TCAATCGCATACCCTTGGAGAAAAATTTTAGCTATTGTAAAAAGGGGTGTGACATCTCCTATACAAACCGAATTTTTCATACTGCTTATCTCTGGAAATTTTTTGGTAGAGTTCTAGAGTTTTGTATGGAGATGTACGAAATAAATCGCATACTCTTGGAGAAAAATTGGAACTATTGGAAAAGGGGGCGTGGCATCTTCCATACAAACCGAATTTTTCATACTGCCTATCTTTGGAAGTGTTCATGGTAGAGTTCTGGAACTTGGTATGGAGATATACGAAATCAATCGCATACTCATGAAGAAAGAGGGCAGCTGTTGGAAAGGGGGGCGTGGCTCCTCCCATATAAATCGAATTTTTATACTGCATATCTCTGAAAGTATTCATGGTACAGTACTGGAACTTCGTATGGAGATATGTATATAGTTGAAATCAAGCCCATACTCATGGAGAAAATTTGGGCTATTTGAAAAGGGGTGTGAGGCCTACAAACCTACCGACCTTTAGCTATCTTTGAATGAATTTTTTTATTCTTCTGTAGGTGTGTTTGTGAGTGAAATCCTCCTAAATGGTTGTACGGATTTTAACGAAACTTTTTGTGTATTTGAGTGGGTCTCTGGATGGTTTAGTTTCACAATTTAATCCGACAGTTGGCGCTGTAGTTGAGTTATTACTAAAAATCTTATTTATGATCCGATTTGGCTAATGTTTTAAATATGTATGCAATACTATTGCAAAAACGTGCTGCCAAGTGGTGCTGAAGTCGAGCTATTACTAAAAATAGCCAAGTGAGAAAAGGGGCCGTGAAGGTCAGATTAAATCGACCTGTTGCACCATTGAGTATATCGAACGCTCCTGCGTTGCAATTGGCCCAATGGATGTGATTTTCCAATATTATTATGCGTTCAAACTTTTAAGGTATTTCGTCTGAAATAAGTATATGTATATTGCATTTCTGTAGAACAATGATTCGCACCCATTTTGAAATTGCCACCTACTATACTGTAAAGCTTCTAGGACATTCACTATAGAACCGGGTCATTGTTGCCGCCAGGGAGTGAATATGAAATGCCGCACAACTGGAGAATTTCAAGAACGGATATAACACTTTCCTTAGGTTATTTAAAGCGGCAAATGACCACCAAACCTTAATCTTAGCAGACAAATGTGCCAATGAAAATCGTAAACGTGAATTGTTGGCGAAAATGTTGGACCAAAAAGTTTCAATAAAATATATAAAAATTTTGGGCGCGACGAAGTTCGCCGAGTCTGCTAGTAATATATAATCTTATATATCTTTATATAATACGCGAATGGATTTTTTGGGCAGCATAAAAGATCTGTACCGTTCTTCCGAATTTCAAAAATGAGATGTCAAATTAAAGCGCTTGGTGTGTAGATTTGCAATAAGGTTTTACTTTTTCGAAAAGAGTTGCCCACTGATAAAAAGTTTAATTCAAATAACTTAACAATCAATGACATCAGATCCACACCGATCGTTCGATTTTCAAAAGTGAGTTGTCAAATCAAAGGGCTCTGACTTTATGTGTGCAATAAGGCTTAACTTTTTCGAAAAGACTTGCCAGCTTTTAAAAAATTAAGTTCAAAATAATACGCGAAGGCATTTTTTGTTCCGCATAAAATATCTGCACCGTTCGTTCGATTTTCAAAAGTGGGGTGTCAAATTAAAGCGCTTCGCCTGTACATGTGCAAACTGGTTTTATTTTTTCGAAAGGAGTCGCCACCTGTAGAACAATTGAATATAAACTGTATAATGGGCAATGCCGTTATAACAGCACCGTTCGTTTGATTTTCCAGAATAAGGTGTCAAATAAAAACTCTTGGACTGTAGCTATGCAATAAGGTTTGACTTTTTTGAAAAAAGTTGCCACCTTTTAAAAAATTTCATTCAAATTGTCTAAAAAAATCAATTATCACAAAATGGGTATCAGTGGAAAGGGTTTTGAAAATATTTGTTTCTTAACTTAACATTAAGAGGGTTGCCAAAATTCAATTTGAATTAAGAAAAATAATTAAGAGAAATATGTTTCAACATATGGGCGCATAACGAAAGGGGATTCAGAAGGTGGCCGTTTGAAAATATTTTGAAGAGGGTCGCTACCTTCTTGCAATGTCGAATTTAATTAATAATTAACTTATCCAGAAGTTATAGGAAATGTCAAAATAATGTTGTGAAACGAAAGAATATTAGTTTGAACACACAAAATATTTTTGAGTTGTTAGAAGAGGGTTGCCACCTGCTTAAAAATTAAACTCAAATTATTAAATTAGTTAAATGAATTATTTAAATATGGGTATCAATCAAAGGGGGGTTGAAAAATCTTTATTTCCGAACTATATTTAGCGGAGTTTCCACATGTTTAATTAATATAATTCAACTCAATTCAGCAGTTGATTAAAACATGTATCGCAATGTTAGACGAAGAATATTTAAAAATATCTTAGCGTGAAACTACTTTTCAAAAGGGCTGCCACCTGTTTAAAAAGTCGGATTTAACTATATCTATATATATATAACGCGAAAGGACTTTTTGTCCAGGTCATCTGATCTGAACCATTCGTTTGATTTTCAAAAATGAGGTATCAAATTAAAGGGCTTGATATGTAGATGTGCAGTAAGCACATTTTTTCCGAAAGGAATAGCCACCTTTTAAAAAATCAGGTTGAGATTATTTATAAATCAATACCATCATATCCCCATCCTTCGCTCGATTTTCAAAAATGAGGTGGCAAATTAAAAGGCTTGGTTGCAGATGTGCAATGAGCTTTTACTTTTTGAAAAGAGTTGCCATAGATATCAGTCGAAATGGTTATTAAAAGCTTTGCTGCTTAACTGTGCCCCTGTCACAAATTTACAAAATGTTCCCCCACAGGGGTCCAGACTAAAGGAGTTAGAAAAGCTAGTAATTTGAAAATGTTTTGAAAAGGGTTGCCACCTGCTTTAAAAGCCGAATTTAGTTATATGCAGTATTAAAATATGTGTGTTAAACGAAAGAGTGCTAAGAAATCTTCAGTTTAAACATCAAAATTTTGTTTTATGGTTTGAAGAGAGTTGCCAGCTGTTGAAAATTTTAAATTTAAATGAATTATTAAGTTTAATAAATTAAGTTAATAAATAATTTAAGTTAAATAAATTACTAAAAGAGGTGATTTAATCGTTCATGAGTTTGAGAAGGATTTATATCTGAACTGTTTAGGAGAGTTGCCAGGTAATAACAAAAGTAAATTCAATTTAATTCTTCAGGTAATTGAATTATGTATCAAAGTGTAAGACGAAAGAGCTTTAAAAGATTTCAGTATGAAAGTGCTTCGCAGAAGGTTGCCACCTGTTTGAAAAGCCTAATTTATTTAGCTTTCACACAATTTTAATGAAATATTAAAACAAGAGTGGCAAAAGAAAGAGTTTTAATAAAACTTTAGTTTGAAAATATTTTTTGTTAGATTTTTATTTTGAGCGATAAAGTTCGGTAATTGTGTTATCAGCTGTCTCGATGAAGTCAATTGTGCAATGCTTTGAAGGATAGTGTTGCCATCTGTTTAAAATATTAAACTCAATTTTGGCGTTTTACCGCCATGCGGGTTCACTAGTTATGTATATTTATGTAGATGTAAATGTAAGTGTGCACAATGATTATTGACATTCGAACTCGGAAAGTGAATCAAAAGATTAATTGCTAAGGGGGTAGCTACCACAAAGCTATGCCATACGTACAAATTTTGAGCATTGAGCAACCTCAGCTGCATCTAATAATACTATTGCCTATGTTGAATTAGTTTACTGTCCCGTTACGTTCAGGGCTGCCGCTTTATAAATTTTTTTCTTACCAAACTTTTTTCAATGCGATAAAAAAAGTTACCAAAATATTTCCAAAGTTACCAAAGCTTACCAAACGTTTAAAAAACATAACGAAAGCTTAATTTTTAATCGTTTTAATACAAATGAAACAAATTAGTGAATAGCAGTAAAAAATAAATAAAAAATGCTTAGAATTGAGATCATTTCAGTAACATGTTATACATTTTGTGCACATAGTTTTACATTCATATGTTTATGATTATAAACAAATGTTTGTGTATACATACACACCTATATAGTAAATTAATGAAATATGATTTCAGTTTAATATTTTTAATATTCAAGAAAACTTCTTTATTAACTGCCTAAAAATTGCTTAAATCAATTTACATGTCCATAATTGTAACGCTCGTCTAAAAAAGCACGCGCAGAATAGACTTTTTGTACGAATTACCAGGTACTACGAAATAACTAATTTAAATAGTCATTCGCAGTAATTCAAAGTTTCAAAGCGTCAACCTTGTCAGCAAGTAGTTATAAATTAATTTAAACTAGAGAGAGAGTATAATGTACAAAATTACTTGCCGGAAAATCTCCTGCTTTCGAAGTAAACCTTAACTTAAATTTTTTGTATCTTTGAAGGTGGTTGTAATATAACCGATACATTCCGGTTTGTCGATAAAGTTCGATTATTTGATATATATCAATAATTCAATGAGTTTCAAGAACACTAAAATCCCTAAACACAACAATAAATATCGATAACTTGATAAATTATATATATTTATTAATAAATACATTTTTATAGATATCTGTCAATTCAAGCTATGCACCCTGTGCAAGTGTTTCAGTAATTCATAATCGTTCCCATTTAATTCATTTTTGCTAACTATTGTACTACACTTGTATTGAAGTTTCTCTCTTTTTAGATCGCTGCATTGAATAAACGTGTTTGGTAATTACGTCGAGTCTTTTATTCAACATAATTTTTGGTGCCTCCTGTGAGGACTAAGAACCGTGCGAAAATTAATAGTTTAAGTTGCTTAATTTCGCGAATTTATAATTTTTACGTAATCTCAAACGATTGCTGCGATATCATTGGATTTAATTCGGATCGCGCAAGATACGTGTACTGCCATAACCACACATTGTATTCTACACTGGTACGTAAATATATATGTAAATGGCAGAAATAAATCTGCGTAAGTTTCATGCATCGGCTATTGCCCGTGCACTGGAGCAAGTGCGGAAAGCGCGCACCGGCGAATTAGATGCATCTAAGGCTGAGCAGCTGCTGAAGTCCGCGAACTCCCATTACGAGCGCATGCTTGCAAACCACGAAGCGCTCCTTAGCGCCGCCAAGGAAGAGGAGTGGGATGTGCATGCCGCATGGTGGGATTCGACGGAGGACATGTACAACGAATTATGTGCCAGTCTTATGCGTTGGGGTGTGATTGGTGGTGATTCGTCCGAGGTTCCCAGCAAACCCGATGTCGATTCAATGATGGAATTAAAGCTGGAGCGATTAAATATTCCGACCTTTGACGGCGCATTACATAATTGGTTGGCATTTAAGGATGCGTTCGAGACTTTAGTGCACAACCGAGATTTACCCATCGCATACAAGCTCGGTAAATTGCGGCAAGCTGTTCCATCCTCAGCGGTGCCGTTAGTTGGTGGTCTCTACTCTGGCGGTTACGAGGAACTGTGGGCAGCTTTGAAGAGGCGGTATGACAACCCCAAGCAGTTGGCAGAAATTCATGTGGCGCGTTTCCTTCACCTTTCATTGGCAGCAGATGAATCGGCGAAGTCTTTGCTGAATATAGTGGATGTGGTTAGCGGTTCTTTGCGCGCGTTAGCCGTTATGAAGTTGCCAGTTCAACAGTGGGATGCACTTACGGTACCTATTGTGGTATCAAAGCTACCTCCGTTAACAAAGCGCGAGTGGTGCATGCACTGTTCCCCAACGGAATTGTCTAGTTTGTCGGATCTAATGAAATTCTTGGAGCAAAGAGCACAGAGTCTGTCGACCGAGCTTGTTGTCGTCAGCCACAGCGGTCACCAACCGCGCGCACTGTGAAATGCAACCTTTCAACAGAGGAAGGGAAGTGTCAGTATTGTCGAGGGGCACATAGGGTCATGCGCTGCCCAACTCTACTGGATTTACCACCGGAGAAGCGTTTTGAGGCCCTAAGGAAGTCGGGCCTATGCTTTAATTGTTTGAGGTTGGGGCATGCATCTAAGCAGTGCTCCTCTGGAGGATGTCGCCAATGCGGCCGCAAACACAACACCATATTCTGTCGCGAACTAAAGCCTGCCGCGCCTTCAACAAGGATGGTAGCGGCTACTACCACCACCTCATCGCAGCCGGGTGTACTAGTAGCACCGGCTCAACCTACGTTATGACTATCTGACTCTGTGATTGGATGCCATGCTCAGGGTGACCAGACAATACTACTCGCAACAGCATGCGCATATATTTCTGGTGACAATTCGGAGGAACGACTGGCTAGGATTTTGTGCGACCCTGGATCACAAGTAAGTTTTATTACTGAGCGTTTTGCTAATGCTCTGAGTCTTCGCAGAAGCAGTTATGAGGTCGCGGTCGAGGGCATTGGTGCATTATCCTGTACACGTACAAAGGGCGCTGTGGCAATAACGCTCAAATCAACTCACTCAGAATTTTCTTTGGCAATTCAAACGTTGGTCATCACATCAATTATTTCAGTGCTGCCAACAGCGCAGCTTGATGTGAATAAGTATGGACACTTGGTTGGTCTGCAAATGGCAGACCCACAGTTTGGTACTCCGGGAAGAATTGACCTTCTATTAGGAGCTGACGTTTGGGGTCTCATTTTGGAAGGAGACACTATCAGAGGTGGTCACAATGAGCCACATGCTCAACTTACGCGTCTGGGTTGGGTCATTTTCGGGCCAGCCTCCGCGAATTCGACCAGCGGCCCATGCTTACGCTCGTATGGTGCCCATATTTTGAAAGAGTCTCGGTTGGACGAGATTGTCAGCTGATTTTGGGAGCTCGACGGGGGGCCTGATGTCGACCGTATGGCTGATGACGAATGTGAGCACCTATTTTCAATGACTCACTCACGAACACCAGAAGGGCGTTACATGGTGCGCTTACCAATACGATCTAATGCTCCACCACTTGCCTCCGATATACAAATGCGTACCCAATATGTGGAGTTTATGAGGGAATACATCGACTTAGGGCATATGGGAGCCTTAGGTATCGCCAATGATTCTCCTCGTACATATTACATCCCGCATCACGCCGTGATGGAGAAGTTCCGCGTCGTTTTTAATGCCTCAGCGCCAACGTCAACCGGTGTTTCGCTTAACGATGTACAGCTGGTGGGTCCAACTATTCAAGTCTCGCTGATGGATATTATTTTCCGATTTCGACGTTACGAAATTTCTCTCACGGCTGACGTTGAAAAGATGTTTCGCCAGGTGTTAGTGGCACCGGAAGATAGAGATCTTCAACGGATCTTATGGCGCGACTCACCCATCGAGGAAGTTACCATATATCAGCTGAAAACGGTAACATATGGCTTGGCGTGCAGCCCATATAATGCGGTGCGATCATTGCGTCAGTGCTCAGTCGACAACTATAGCGTGGTGAGCGATCCTAATCAGGCCGATTCGGCGCGCAGTGCCATTCTTTCCTCATTTTACGTCGATGACTTTCTCACAAGCTGTGCTGCGGTTAGCGAGGCGGTTACGTTGGCGAATAACGTGTCGACGATTTTATCGGCAGGCTGTTTCACGCTTCGAAAGTGGAACTCGAATAGAGCTGCCGTACTCGAACAAATAGGTGAATCCTCCTCAGTAGCTGAACACAACATTGACGCCCCCATAGCTACAGTGCTAGGCCTGCTCTGGGACCCCGCAAGGGACGAGCTGTTGTTCAAGGTATCTCTTAACCACTATGATGGACTCCTGACGAAGCGGCGAGTTCTTAGTGAAGTAGCCCAGCTGTATGATCCCACTGGATTTTTGGCGCCGGTCGTTATATCAGGCAAGGTATTTATACAGAGTCTTTGGGCCTCGGGTGTATGTTGGGATACTCCACTACCTCAAGATCTGTGCCGAATTTGGTCGAAATTCCGCGGTGATTTGGTTACCCTCAATAAAGTTCGAGAACCTCGATGGCTGGGTATGAGTACAACTAATCCGACTACTCTTTATGGATTTTGTGACGCCAGTCAGAAGGCATACGCTGCGGTGGTTTACGCACATACGAATGACACTGATGGAAGTGTGCTGGTATCGCTGCTCACTGCTCGTACGAAGGTTGCGCCGCTTAAGGGCACCACGATCCCTAGACTGGAACTGAGTGGAGCACTTCTGTTGGCTAAAACGATTGGCACGGTTCGCAGGGCACTAAGTTTGGAGGAGGCTTCTGTGTATTTGTTGTCGGACTCCAGTGTAGTCCTGTCTTGGCTACGCAAACAGCCAATTTTGTTGAAACCCTATGTCGCCAACAGGGTCCGCCAAATACAACAACTGACTTCTACTGATTGCTGGCACTATGTACGTTATGCCCAGAATCCAGCGGATTGCGCCAGCCGTGGTGTAACTCCAACAGAGCTGTTGAGCCACAATTTATGGTGGACAGGTCCAGATTGGCTGCGGCAGAAGCAAACACCCTTTGATTCGGCGCCCGAGTTACAGGCTGACGAACGCGTTGCTGCGAACAGTGAGGAAAGGGTCAGAATTCTTACGTTCGTGTCCTCTATTCAATATCAGCATACCACACGACTCATCGATGGGCGCCAGATTCCATTAACACAACGGTATAGTTCCATAAAACGACTCCTCCGAACTACAGCTATAATCCTCCGCTGGTTACCAAGGCAACGCCTTCTCCGGCAGAGTATTGTGACAACGGCAGAGATGGATGGCGCGCTTGAATTGCTCATTCGTATTGATCAAGCGTCCGCGTTTCCTCGAGACTTACATTATTTGCGAGAAGGAACAACTTTACCAAATTCAAGCCCACTGCTCCCATTTAACCCATACTTGGATGACCATGGCATCATAAGGGTAGGTGGACGCATTACTAACTCCGCGTTGCTAGAAGAACATCGCCACCCAACTATACTTCCGGAGGTCAGCGATTTAGTTAGGCTGCTCATACACCAAGTTCACATCGACACACTTCACGGTGGTACACAATTAATGCTACAGACTCTGCGGTACCGATTTTGGATTATCAATGGCAGGCAAGCGGTACGCAGCGTCATCCATAAGTGCGTGATTTGCAGACGACACCGTGGAGCTACTATTAGGCAACAGATGGCCTCATTACCACGACAACGAGTCAACGTAGCACGACCATTCCTGGCGTCAGGCGTGGACTACTGTGGGCCTTTCACGATACNCGGAAATTCCAGTTAATCGTCTAAAGCATTGGCAGTGGTTACGCCGCCTCCATCAACAATTCTGGCACCGGTGGAGCGAAGAGTATCTGTCAACTCTACAATCGCGGAGTAAATGGCGGCGACGTGTCGAGAACATGCAGGTTGGTGACATCGTATTGGTTAGACACGAGAACCTACCTCCAACACACTGGCGACTTGGTCGCATCACAGAAGTTCACCTAGGCAGTGATGGACTGGCGCGCAACGCGACCCTAATGACCGCATACGGATTGTGCACCCGGGCAGTGCAGAAACTATGCTTGCTTTTCCAACCTGATGATATCGAAGCAGATGCTCCGACCGGGCAGTATGTCTAATATTTATATTGTTCATTTCAATTCAAGCTATGCACCCTGTGCAAGTGTTTCACTAATTCATAATCGCTCTCATTTAATTCATTTTTGCTAACTATTGTACTACACTTGTATTGAAGTTTCTCTCTTTTTGGATCGCTGCATTGAATAAACGTGTTTGGTAATTACGTCGAGTCTTTTATTCAACAATATCTATCCGCAAATTTCGACAACTAATTTTCTGTGTCTATAAATTTCGACAACTCAATTACCATTGGTCAATTTCAATAATATTACACGTTGTTATAACTCAATAAATAACTCAATAGATTTCGATAACTTTAAACTTCGATGACTCGATAAAATTCGGTAACTTGATAACTTTCGATAACTAAATTTTTTATAGCTTAATTTACTTCAATTCCTATCGAAAAAATAAGTGCGCCTGGGCCACATTGAAGAAGTGGAACTTACGTTACTTCTTTAGAAATTGTGAATAAAACGACAGGGCAGTTAATATAATTTTATAAGCTCAAGGTTATATTTTATCTTTTTTCTATCTTTATCCTTACCCAGACCCGTCGAGAAGGTAAGAATGGGGAAATCCTTCCCTGACCCGGGCTTTTTAAGGGGCCTGAAATATCAGAGCCAAAGCTTGTTATTAGTTTTTTACAATTTAATTTTGAAAGAAAACAATGCGCATGCTTTCAGTAATCATGTTTATCGATACAGAAACAAATATTTTTCCATGTAATGTGTTGTCATTTGATTCAAAACATGTGATGTCATGTCATACCATATGATGTCATATAATATGATGTCATATTATGTGATGTCATGCCATGCGATATCGTATTATGTGATATCATATTATGTGATGACATGTCATGTGGTGCCATATCATATGATGTGATGTGATATCATACTTTGTCGATAAATATATCAATAAAAATATCAATAAATATATCGCNTTTTCCATGTAATGTGTTGTCATTTGATTCAAAACATGTGATGTCATGTCGTACCATATGATGTCATATAATATGATGTCATATTATGTGATGTCATGCCATGCGATATCGTATTATGTGATATCATATTATATGATGACATGTCATGTGGTGCCATATCATATGATGTGATGTGATATCATACTTTGTCGATAAATATATCAATAAAAATATCAATAAATATATCGAAAAATATCAATAAATATATCGCAAAATATAACGATTCCAAAATCGATTTATTTATTACTAAATATATCGATAACATTATCGACAAGAATATCGATTATTACACTGATAACAATATTTATAACATTATCGATAACAATATCGATTATTTTATCGATAACAATATCGGTTGTATTGATAGAAGTATCCATTATTATATCGATAACAATATCGATTATTATATCGATAGCAATATCGATTATTATATCAATAGCAATATCAATCTTCATCCTAATATTTTTCTTCATATTTATCTTTATTTTTGCATATTCCCCTTCACCTTTACTTATAGTGTCTAAATTAACCCTGATCGTCATTTTATCCTTTATCTTTACGCATATTTGTTTTATTTTTATTTTTACCTTTACCTGTAAGCTTTTCTTCGTCTATGTACGTACTAAGCTTTTCTTTCCTTCCTCTATTGGGCTTAATATCAGTCCTATTCTTAAACCCCTTATTAGCACGTTTTTGGTTAATTAATAGCACATATATTAGAAGCAGTTGTTTCCGTGACAACTATTTCCGTGTGAGTCGCCGTAGAGAAGTTTCACTTTAAAAATACAATACATTTGCTTACCCTTTCAGTTAACTTAACTCTTATGTATTTCTTACTGTCTCCATTTTCGTCTTTTTCTTCACTTTTGCCTTCTCTTTCTTGTCTTCATCGTTATCATTTATTTCGGCATCTTCATATTTATCTTTATTTCAAAGCTTAATTTCAAATGCGAAGTGAAACAACATGCGAAACATGTCAAATTGAACATGTTGCAGCAACATCTATACACAAATACGGAAAAGTTTAAATGACGGTTTTGGCCATAATTTTCAACCAATTTTGAAACCATAAAAACTCTGCTCATCTACTACAAAATACCTCTCCAGTGGTTTTGAAATCGGTTCAGTAGAATCTATAAATGAAGGCGGACAAAATTTATGTTAGCGTGTTAATATATAGATGCTCATTCACAACAATTCAGATTTGAATGTAAGAGTAAACAAGGGAACTTGATGTTGGCAAATAATAGCAAGTGTAATTTTGTTTCTAAAGATATTTTAAAATATTCAGCAGAAGTTAAAAAACTTACCAAAAAGTTACCAACTCAAATTGGTGAAGGTAAAAGTTACCAGTTTTGGTCGAATTCCACCAAAACGGCAGCCCTGGGTGCGTTGTTGTCATCTTCGAAAGACTTGCTTTACATTCAGAAATTACGCCCTCCGCTGCGTATACGTAACATGGGTGTGCGAGCAGCACTAAACCAATTCAAAGTAGATCACTTCAATTTAGCCTCTATTGTCTAGCTGTTTGTGCGAAAGAGTGTTTATTCGAAAGGTTTCCGAATGAACCGCATGCATACATACCTGTCTGAAAGAATCGAACATTGTGGCAAGTAGATGTGTTTGTCAACATGCTTGCTCACGATGCTGTTGCTATTGAAGTGTCACGAAAAGCGTTGTGTATTGTTTTGCTGTGTTGGGCTGAATTGGTAATGCTCGTTGCTTAATTGCAAAAACGTAACGTGCGTGTACATATTCAAATACATATACATATATATATCGACACAAGCGTATTTACATATGTATGTATGTATATAGCATATTCAAACACTTATAAACACGTAATAAAAGCCTTACATATGAAAATGTATGGAGACTTCTACATGCGTATGTTTGCCTATGTGTTGCGAAAATGGCAACAAAACCTAGTTGCAATTTGTGGATGCATTTCGGATAAGCCAACTGTGCAGCTTCCTGTGCCCTAGGCGGCAGAAGCGCACGCTTTGGCGCAGCTCTTTAAATTGAAATTGCAATTCCGGGCAGTGCCACGCATGTACTATATATACATTCAACCGTACGTACATAAGAAGTACCACATACTTTTGTGCAAGCCTAGCCATATGAGGCAGTTGCTGAAGATTTATTGTTATGGTTTATGGCTACCAACGGACAAAAACGGCACTTGGATTAAGCAACGGAGTGAGTTTGCATTCGGGACTAATACGAAAATCCTCAACTACAACTGTTGCAGACAGCGACATGTAAAAACTGTACTCGAGCATCCGCACTTATGTCGTAGTTTATGTAAGTGCTCATCAATTTTGGTTCTCATTGCAAATGAATGGATAAATAAGGAAATATTAAGATGCAATTGTCTCGCACGTGTGTGCCTTGGAGCAAATAAAGTGTAATTTAGATGCAATTGTTTGCAGCGTTTGTTCATATAAAATCTATTTAAATTCATAATTGAATTTCTCAAGGAAAGCAATGAAAATTTTGCCAGTTGCATAAGTATTTACATACGTATTAATACGTACAACATAAGCCACATATTTAAGTAAAATTTACGACTCAGGTGTACAAAAACCAACTATTTACCCATACATTCATATGACACACATTTTTACATGCACAAAATGCTGAGATGCATTCATAGTTATTTATAATGTATCCTTTGCACTTATTGCCTAATCTCATTTGCCAACACTTCTGCTATCATAATCCTTTAAAATGCTCTCTGTGGTAAGGATAAATGGATTACTGAAGTGCTATGTTGCTAACTCAAGAAATCATTCTTGTGTAAGCCAATTGGTGTCGTAATTAGAAGTTATACATCCGGATACTATATCAAGAGGGCTTAAATCAAATATGTATTTAAATAATAATTATTTATCTGTGCGGAAATATGTCGAATATCTTCTCCATTTTAAAGCGATTATATCAAATTTAATTGTAATTCAATTACACAATTATTTTTTGTAAAATTTAGCACGAATCCACTTTCCTGCATGTTAGAAAGCAATTAAATAAACAAAAACAACAAGTCACATGTTTAGGTGAATTAGGAACACAAACCGAATTTCTGCCCGTTATACAAATGTATTCCCTTATACATTATTTAACTTTAATTAAGCCTATCAACGTCACACAATTCTCCAGAATCGGAACGTCATAAATAATAATGGATCACAAATTTGTGACTTTTTTTTGTTCGCCGAATGCCCCTATCCAATTTTCTTTTCTATGGATAAGTTTTCCAGATATTTTCAGTTTGCCGTCATTCCGCTTAAAACGAAAAGTGGTAATCAAGTGTATCTTACGAACCAATGTAACAATTTTAATACGAAACAAGTAAAGAAGTATAAGTTCGGGCGAAACCGAACTTTATATAGCCGGCGCAGATATCGAATATCGTCGTTTCCATTTTCTCTAAACTACCCTTGCATGATAAGCAGTGGTGTTTTTCCTGATTTCAAATGTTTTCGATAATATGCTGACTTACACTTAATGAAATAATTGAACCAAGTGTGGTAGAAATTGATAAAGTGGTTACCGAGATATATCTTGTAGCCATAAAGTAGGCGGTACGACGCCCAATTCCTTAAAAATGGACTATTAACTTAGAGTAAATTAGCGTCCGCAGTTATTGAAATATCGGAGTTTTCATATGTCTG